TATTAGCAAATATAACAAGTAAAAAGTAGTTACCTCTCACCAGAGCAATAAAAAGGATTACCACAAGATCAATCTTTTGCTCAACCAATAATTAAATTCTCGCAACTCTTATAACCCAAAATTAAGTATTTTATAACTGAATTATAATTTTCTAACAAGCCAAATTATTTATTTACAACCTCCAAATTATTTACTTTAATAAAAAGGATTTTTCAAAATTTCCAAATATGAAATTATTATGTTCTAAATTTTAAGGGAAAATTAATATGATAGTCCTTATAGTTTCATCAGATTTTGAATCAGGTCCTTATGGTTTTTTCTTTTTTATTAAATCCTTATTGTTTGCTCTGTTAATACTGTAAGCCCTTCTGTTAATTCAGCCGTTAATTTGAATTAACACCGTTTTCTCTTTATCTCTCTCTCGGTCGCACTGTCTAGCTTCTCTCTCCACTCTCCCCCTTCCTGTCCCCTCTCCCCACCATCATCTTCTTTATCTCCTCTCTCAGTTTCTTTGTCTCTTCTCTCACCAGTACTTCATATTGTTTCTCATCTTCTTCTTTATCTCCTCTTGTAGTAATATACACATACTTTTAAGTGAATTCTTAAAGACCCTATTTTTCTACCACATTTTCGATCAGAGATGGAATAAAAGTGAAAACTAAAGTATAATGTCTTGTACAATATTGTTGAGTTTATAGAATGAAATTGGAGCCGAGTTGAGTAAGTTTGAATGGAAATCAAATAGCACTTTTCGTATAGAAATTCTTGGTCAAATATATTATATATGGATATTTTGGATGACCATCAGTGATCCACAGCGCATCTGGGAATTAATTTGTCGATGTCAACAAAATATATAGGCCAGCTACAACATACTCTGTTACTCTGTAGTGCTCTGTTTTTTTTCCCTTTTCCATGAAAATTCTGTTCACCATATGCATAGCTAGAATGAAGAAGGCAGAGGGTACTATTACAGCTGTGAGAAGGAAATATTTGCAATTTAAGAGTAAAGCTTTTGTAAGAAGAGATAAAGAAGATGATGGTGGAGAGAGAGATTTGGAGAGGAGAGAGAGAAACTGAAAGAATAGACAAAGATGAGAGGGACGGCATATGAATGGGCAGAGGGGAGAAAGAGAACTGAGTGCGGAGACAATGCGATGGAGAGAGAAGAAGACGATGTTAGCTTAAATTAACAGCTGAATTAACAGAAGGACTTACATTATTAACAGAGCAAACGATAAGGATTTAATAAAAAAGAAAAAAACTATAAGGACCTAATTAAAAATCTAATGAAACTATAAGGACTGCCATATTAATTTTCCCAAATTCTAATAATCTCATTTGAAATTTAAACCTCAAAACCAAACCATAAAAAATTTAATAGTACCTCAAATATTTATAAATTAATCATCTAATCAAAACTTTAATGGTATAACTATCACATATATAATAAATTTTTTAGATAAAATAATTATTTTAAAACTTTCAGTCACCCGATAAATAAAAATAAACCAAATAAAATATCAATAATATGTCAAACAACCCATATAAATTATTTAATTTAAATTTAATCGGTAAAAATATAACATAAATCATATATAACAAATTTTTCAACTAGAAAAATTAATTTAAGTACTAAAAACTAATAAATGGATAAATCTAAACCGATTAAAATTAACAACTTATTTACCTCTAAACTTTTATGGTCATTTTTTATCAAAATTTCATATTTATATCATATACAAGTCTCAAAATTTTCTCTAATCACTATAGTAATATTACTATTAGGAAGCATAAAATATATAAAACATATTCATGAAGAAAGTTTGATAAAAAGAATTTTATCTGTGTAACTAAATTATCTTTAAAGCTTGCTCTCTTCTTCATTAGTCTGCTCCTCTCTCTCTCTCACGCACTATTTCTCTCTTCCTCATTCTCTCTTTTTCTCCCAGTATACGTCTTATTTTCTGCGTCCCCTCTCTCTTTTATTCTTTATTTTTCTAACCACTCTCTCCTGTTTTTTCTTCTTCTAATAAATCCCCCTCCCCAAAAGTCTTTGTTCATTAATTCCTTCTCCCCAAATTTCTTCCTCATAGTCAATGTCTCAGCTTTCGGTGGAAAGCTGCTTTCTCTTTCTTTCTTTTTTTTAAATAAAAATATTAAAATATTATTATTTTATTATTATAATAAAATATTATTACTTTATTATTAATTTTTTTTACTAAATCCTAAAATAAAATTTAGGATATTACAATTCTCCCCACCTAATTAGAATTTTGTCCTCAAATTCACACAACCACATACACAAAAAAATAGAAGCAATTCAATATGCTTACTAAGAAAACAAGTAAGGGTATTCACAACACATCCGCTCCTCAGTTTCCCAAGTGGCATAACCAGGACTTATGCCCTTCCAAAATACCTTAACAAGACGGATAGTCTTATTCCTCAATTGTTTATCCTTAACGTCTAAAATCTGCTCTGGTTCTGCTGGATAGGTCAGATTATCTCGCAACTCCCTCTTTAGGCTCAATAACATGAGATGGATCGGGATGATACTTCTTCAACTGCGACACGTGGAACACGTCGTGTAAACTGCAAAGATATGGAGGTAGCGCAATTCGATATGCAATAGGTCCAATCTACTCCAAAACCTCATAAGGGCCCATGAATCGGGGTGTAAGCTTCCTGGCTTTAATGGATCTGGCCACACCTGTGACAGTTGAAACCTTCAGAAATACGTGATTACCCACTTCAAATTCTAAAGGTCTCTTATGATGATCTGTATAACTCTTCTGTCGACTTTGGGCCATCAACAGCTTGTGCTTGATCAGCTTAATCTTTCTAGTCATGATGTCCACTAAATCTGGGCCAATAATTGTTCTTTCACTTAATTCAGTCCAACAAAGTGGAGATCTATATTTCCTCCCGTATAAAGCCTCATATGGTGCCATTTAGATACTAGCGTGATAGCTGTTGTTATAGGCAAATTCAGCTAATGACAAGTGAGTGTCCCAACTGCCCTTTAGCTCTATAGCACAAACCCTCAACATGTCCTCGAGAGTTTGATAGTCCTCTCGGTCTATCCATCCATCTAAGGATGATAAGTAGTACTAAACTTGAGCTTAGTACCCATAGCTTCATGTAACGACCGCTCGAAATTTAATGTAAACCTCAGGTCCCTATCAAAAATGATAGACTCTAGCACTTCATGAACTCGAACAATCTCATCTATATACAGCTTTGTCAATCGTTCCAAAGAGTAAGTACTTTTAATAGGTAGGAAGTGTGCAAACTTAGTCAATCTTTCCACAATTAGCCATATCGCATCATAGTCAACTGGGGTTCTTGGCATGCCAGTAATAAAGTCCATAAAAATACTATCTCATTTCCATTGGGGAATATCGAGATTCTTTAATAGTCCTGAAGGTCTCTGATATTCTATCTTGACCTTTTGACATGTTAGACATTTCAATACAAAATCCGTGACATCTTTTTTCTTTTTTGGCTACCAATAGTTCTTTTTCAAGTTTTGGTACATCTTGGTTATCCCTGTGTGTATCGTGTAATTACTTGATGCGTTTCTTCTAGAATAGTCTTTTTGATTTTCTCATTACCAGGGACACAAATCCTTTTCTTGTACCTCAAGATTCCTTCTTCACTAATTTCATAATCAGGCACATCACTGGTCTCCACTTTCTCTCGGATGCTGAGCAACCGGTCATCCTCCATCTATGCTAACTTCAAGTCTTGAAAGAACTCATAATTACCCAGAATTGATTGCAGAGTGGCTGGAGCCTCATGTACCACTTGGAGATCTCTTAATCCCTCTAAGCAATAGTGTTCTTCCAAACTCATGTGAAAGACATGCACCGTTTTCCTACTCAAAGCGTCTGTAACCACGTTGGCTTTACCTGGATGATACTTCAACTCAAAGTCATAGTCCTTGATGAATTTCATCCACTAATGTTGTCTATTATTCAGTTCCTTCTGATCTAATAAATACTTTGGACTCTTATGATCACTGAAGACTTCAAACTGTGATCTATATAAGTAGTGCCTCCAAATCTTCAATGCAAAAACCACCGCAGCTAATTACAGGTCATATGTAAGATAATTTTTCTCATGTGGTCTTAATTGCCTAAATGCATAGGCAACCACCTTACCTTCCTGCATAAGGACATACCTTAAACCCTTAAATGAAGTATCGGTGTAAAGGGTATACAGTTTACTAGGATCTGAAATAGTCAACACTGGGGCTGTGGTCAACTTAGCCTTCAGTTCTTGGAAAGCCGACTCACACTTTTCGTTCCAGATAAATGGCTGGTCTTTCTTGGTTAACTTAGTTAGAGGCATGGCGATATGAGAAAATCCCTTGATGAATCTTTGGTAATACCCAGCCAAGCCTGCAAAACTTCTCATCTCCATCACAGGTTTTGGCGATTCTCATTTCAACACGACATCGACCTTGCTAGGATCAACAGCTACTCCCTCGGAGGATACTATATGGCCTAAGAACTTTACTTCTCTAGGCCAGAACTCGTATTTGCTTAACTTAGCATACAATTGATAATCCCTCAATATTCACAATGCAATGTAAAGATACTCTTAGTGTTCTTCCTCATTCCTATAGTATATTAGCATATCATCGATAAACACCATAATGAACTTGTCCAAGTACGCCTAGAGATCCTATTCATGTAGTCTATAAACACCGTTAGAGCATTCGTCAAACCAAAAGGCATTACTAGAAACTCATAATGTTCGTATCTGGTACGAAAGGCCGTCTTCAGGATGTCCTCTGCTCTTACTCTTAATTGATTATATCCAAACCTTAAGTCAATGTTGGAAAACACTGCTGACTCTATTAGCTGATCCAGCAAGCCATCAACCCTAGGTAGAGGTTATTTGTTCTTGATAGTCACTTTGTTCAACTGTCTATAATCTATACACAATCTCAGGCTTCCATCCTTCTTTCTCATAAACAGTACTAGTGATCCCTATGGTGAGACAATTAGTCTAATAAATCTTTTTTCAAGTAACTCTTTGATTTGCTTTTTCAACTCTGCCAATTTAGAAGGTAACATTCTGTATGCTGCTTTATAAATTGGAGCTGTCCCTGGCACTAACTCAATGGAGAACTCAATTTCCCTCTCTGTGGGTAAGCTGGACACTTCTCTAGGAAATACTTCAGGAAACTCTTTTACTACCTCAATTTGCTCAATACCAGTTTCTTTATCTGTACTAATAGAAAAGAAAACAGCGTAGGCATGACAACTCTTTTGAATACACTTAGTTGCTTGAGTAGCAGACAACCACGGAAAACTATTAATAGTCTCAACTATCATAGTGCACAAAGGAAGGGTCCCATCTTCCCTTTTGCAATCTAAAATGGCATTATTTGCTGATAGCCAATCCATGCCAATAATCACATCAATACCCTTGAGGGGTAGACAAATCAAATTAATCGCAGACTCACGATTCTCAAATTTAATCACGAGACTTAAACAAGCCTGTGTGGTTAACATAGTAGCTCCCACTGGAGTCGATACTTTCAACAAGCAAGACAAATCATGCATTGGAAATTTAAACTTTTAAGCACATTCCGCAGCAATAAAAGAATGAGTGGTACCAGAATCAAATAACACAGGTATATTACGTCCTTGAAGGGAAACAGTACCTCTAATTAGATTAGAAAACGTACAGGCCTCCTCTTTAGTCAAAGCAAAAACTCTCCCTGGAACTGTGGATCTGAAACTAGAAGTTTGCTGCTGCACCTCTGGACAATTATGAGCTAGATGTCTAGACTTATGGCATCTGTAGCATTCCAAAATTGTCTTGTATGATTTCTCCCACATCTTAAGCAAGAACCAAAAACACTTGGTGTGGATCTCGTAGGCTCACGGTGGACACTCTGATCTCCTCCCATACTGTTTCCCTGAGCCTGTCTCCTCTGCATATAGCCTCCACACGTTGAATTCTTCTAATTCTGGCTCTTGCCTCTGCTTGAGCTACCCATGCTCCCATAACTGTAGCTACTCTTTTTATTGATTCCTCCCATTAGCGTCATAAAACTAGAGAATTTGCCTTGGTTGTCTTGACGTCAGCTCTTCTCTACCTTTTGAGTTCTGCAGGCTGTCATCCTGAGTTTCCTACAGGCATCCTTGAAACTATTAAACTGATATAAGGCCATTTGCTGCTTCAACTCTGACCTTGCCTGTTCTATCAATTGTCGGGCCATCCATTCCAGGTTATCTTTTTGTTGCAGGTAGGTAACGTGCTTGGAGAGGTCAATATACTTGGCAATAAACTCATCCTCATGCATGTTCTCCTGTCAAAGAACATAAAAAGCTATTTCTTTTTCTTGTCTCATGAATGGAGGGAAAATAGTGATCAAAGAACATCTGCTTGAATTCTGTCGAAGTAACTCCTGAGTCATTTATGCCACTTATGCTCCTCCACCACCTCTTAGCTTGATCCCTTAATAAGACCACCGCCGCTTGTACCTTCTGATAGGTATTACAGCTACACGCTTTGAATACTGTCTCCATATCATCGATCCAAGCCTCAGCTTTATCAGGATCCATACCCCCATCAAAAGTCTTTGGGTAATGACGCTTTATATCTTTCCATACACTCTTAAGGTTCACCGTCTCCTTTTTTTCTTGTTACCATTACGAGCTATTCTCTTCTCTGGTTCCTTCAATAGAGCCCCTGCGAGTTCTAGAATTACCCACAGACAGCTCAAGAAGCCCACTCTCTTTGAACTCTTCCACAGCTTTCTTGCTCCTCAGGTCTTCCTCCAACTTCCTTACCCTCTCATCTACCACCATAACTACCACTTCCCTTAGCTATTGCAATAAGGTTTCTTGGTTAAACTGTAGAGGATTTGGTGGTTGCTTAGGTGGGTTTGTGGATTCATCCCCATCCCGATTAGTTTGTCGGGATCACGTCCGTACTGTCCTCCCCACCTAAGGATAGAACACACCAAAAAGAAACAAAAGTAACGTCAAGCACAGACATAAAGTAACAAGGAAGGTTATATAAGATTATTATATATTGCCACTAAATGTAATGTAATACAACCCAATTCACATAATCTTTAGCACTGATACCAAATTGTAATGACCATTCTTTCAAAACCCATTTAGATTAAATCAAAAAATTAGTCATGATAGAAAAGAGGAAACCTTAAAATTTTAAAATCACTATTATGGTTAAAAGAAATAAACTTATATCACGAGCAACATCGACTATTAACTTGGGCCTTGGACTTTCAAAGTCCAGAAATATCATTTAACCATTAGTCCAAATCAAACTCATACTTTCAAACATACTAATTGATAAATCATTTTAATATAAGTTATAGAATCCATTAGTTAAAAGTCAACACTTTTAAAGAGTGCCATATGCAGATTCTTAGAGGTTTTTAGCCTTCTAACGGCCCTCTCATTTTAGATAGTAGTAATTAAAGGTATTAGTTTATAACGTTAGAGTAGATGAGCCCTATATGGCAATATATAACAAATAAGCACAGAACAAAAGTCTGGAGGCAATACAAGCTATAACAGCACATTATTCCTCCAGAGCCTTCCCTGATGGGCTACCACCTGAACTATCACCTAAAGATAGTAGAAACCACAGGGTGAGACAAACACCTCAATAATCAACTATCCAACTCATCATACGTACTAGCACGTGCTCGTGAGGTGTCAAGTGGGACAGTTATTAATTCTCAAGAAATATAGATATATCCATAGAAATCTAATTTCAATAATCAAAACCCTCATTATGGGGCTAATACACAAGCCACATAAATCTATCCCTTACTATGAGGGATCAATCAGACATATAGGCCTATCCTTTACTGTGGGGGACAAATAAGAAAAGAAGTCACAAAGGCCTATCCCTCACTATGGGGGACGAAGGAAGCCTACTAATGTGCACCAATAGTGGCCTTATCACATGGTAGAACAGGACTCAACTCGAAATTCAAATCACAACCAATCATTCACAATATAATAAGAAATATCTCAATTTTTTCTCAACATATATCCACAGGATATAGACCATATATTTTTTCAAATGGCTCAATCACAATTCCAAAAATCTCATAAGATAATCTTCATAGCTCAAAAGATATAACATATCTACTAGAGTTTCAAATAACACATCATTATTCTTAAATAGCAAAATACTCATAAACAACATATTAACACATATAACAAGTGGAAAGTGATTATCTCTCGCCAAAGCAATAAAAAGGATTACCAGAAGGTCAATTATTTGTTCAACCAATAATTAATCTATATAATTAATATAACAACAAATTAACATAAGCCTATATATTAGTTAAATTTCTAATTAAATGAAATTTTATTTTATTTTTATTTTAAATTCTTGCAACTCTCATAACCTAAAATTTAGTATTTTATAACTGACTTATAATTTTCTAACAAGCCAAATTATTTATTTACAGCTTCCAAATTATTTACTTTAATAAAAAGGATTTTTCAAAATTTTCAAATATGAAATTATTATGTTCTAAATTCTAAAAATCTCATTTAAAATTTAAACCTTAAAGCCGAACCATAAAAAAGTCAATAGTATCTCAAATATTTATATATAAATAATCTAATCAAAATTTTAATAGTATAACTATCACACACACACATATATTTCCATATATAATAAATTTTTTAGATAAAATAATTATTTTAAAACTTTCAGTTGCCCAATAAATAAAACTAAACATAATAAAATCTCAATAATATATCAAACAACCCAAATAAATTATTTGACTTAAATTTAGTCGGTAAAAATATAATATAAATCATATATAACAAATTTTTCAACTAGAAAAATTAATCTAAGTATTAAAAACTAATAAATGGACAAATCTAAACCAACTAAAATTGACAACTCATTTACCTCTAAATTTTTATGGTAATCTTTTATCAAAACTCAATACTTACATCATATATAAGTCAAAAATTTTCTCTAATCATTATAGTAATACAACTATTAGGAAGCGTAAAATATATAGGAAATATTCATAAAAAAAGTTTGATAAAAAGAAGTATATTTGTGTATCTAAATTATTTTCAAAACTTATCCTCTCCTTCACTGGTCTGTTCCTATCTCTCTCGTACTATTTATCTCTTCCTCATTCTCTCTCTTTCTCCCGCATGCACCTCATCTTCTACGTCCCCTCTCTCTTTTATTCTTCATTTTCCAACCACTCTCTCATATTTTTTTTCTTCTTGCATCAAAATCCCCCTCCCCCAAAGTCTTCTTTCATTACTTCCTTCTCCCAAATTTCTTTCCCATAGTCAATGCCTCAACTTTCGGTGGAAAGATATTACACATCATTTTTAGTGTGCTAAGGGGTCATAGGTTCAAGCCTTTCCTTAGCCACCTTTTTTTTTAAAAAAAAATCTTCCAGCCACCGGAGCTACAATAGGGGCCACCAGAGCTCCAACCTCCGACGGTAGCCACCTGAGCGCTAGTGGCCGAACCTCTGACCTCCGGTGATCAGAACTCCTACGACCATTAATATTTATTTTTTAAAAAAATAAAAATGAGGGGTATTATTGTAATCTTACTCTTAATTTTAATTTCAGTTTGATCGTTTAATCTTGCAGTGACAATGTGACATTTCAAAATATTTTGGGGGTTGTTTGAAATAAATTCTCAAGTGCAGTTTTTAAGCGAAAATTTTCCAATAATAAAAGCTAAAGCAATTGATGACTGTAAAAGCAAAAGTAAAAAGATGTTAAAGCAGCCATCTACTGTTTTAGCATTTTTTTACTTTTGCCTGCTAAAAGCCTCATAGGAAACTAGAACAGGCGCTTTTAGCCTAAGTCTAGAAGCCGTCGACCCCGTGGGTTGAAGTTAGGGGTGGAAATAAGCCAGGAAGCCTATCAAGGACTTGTGGCCTAGCCTGTAAGTTGCCTGACCTGACCTGACCTGACCTATTTCCAAACTAAAGTAGGTTCAGGCCTTTTTAAAGGCCTGTTTCTCTTAAAAGGCCAGGCCTAGGCTCTTTAATAAGCCTGTTGGGCGGCCTGAGCCTGTTATTTTTTTAAAAAATATTATAATTGTAAATTTATAATTAACTTTTTTAGAATAATAACATGTTTTGATTAATATTGTAATATGCCTCATACCATATTTTTATCCTGAATAAGATCATGTTTGAGTTACTCTTCAATATGCCTTGAATGATGATTTCTGTAATATGCACTTTATTATTCGTTCAAATCCTACTTGCCCGATGATGATTTCATGTTTGTCATTTTTTACTTTTATTTACCTACGCAAAACTACTCTGTTTTTCTAATGTACATCACCAACAATTGACAATAGAAATAACCCCTATATGAATTTGACTTTTGTTTACCCCTTGTATTGCGACCATTTTAACTACATCTTCTCCTCAAGTTATTAAATATTTTTCACTTAAATAATATGATTTGAAACATGAACAACAAAATAATACACTACCATTTGAATATTAAATATTTTTCACTTAAATATTTTAGATAATTTTTATGTTTGTATTTTAGACAATTTGGATTGAGTTATTGTAATTTTGAGTTGATTTAAATATGTTTAAAAATTTTTTAAAAAATACAGCCTTCTTAACAGGCTTCAAGTCAGACCAGGCTTTTGCGTAGGCCAGGCTTAGGCTGAATATCAGGCGTGTCAGAAGCCACAAGCCAGGCTCAGGCCAATAGGCTTCAATACAGGCCTGACCTATTAAAGGTGAAGCCTAATCTGGCCTTGCCTATTAAAGGTGAAGTCTAATCTGATCTGGCCTGTTTCCACCTCTAGTTGAAGCAAAACCTTTGCTAAGTTTCAGACTTGGATTCTCTCTACTACCCTTCCCATCATTCTCCCTTCCACTACCCTTCTTTTCTCTTCATATTTATTGAATCAAAACTCTAGTAGTCTAGATTTAATATTTTATAATATTTTATAAAAATAATATTATTATAAAAAATAGATAAATATATTTAAAATGTTAAAATCTAATCTGAATAGTTCATAGCTGCAGACTGTTATTATAGAGCAAATTTTTTCAATTTTTTTAATTACAGATATGAGCTGACTAGATTTTAACAGTTTAAATTTATTTATTTTTTTAATAATATTATTTTTCTAAGATGTTAAATCTGGATCATCGGAATTTTGATCCAATAGTTGTGAAGAAAAAAAGAGGGTAATGGAGAGGAAGAGGATGGGAAGGGTAATAGAAAGGATCCAAATCCCTAAGATCCTATTTGGTAAGAAGTATTGAAAATTAGGGATACGGATTGAAAAAATTTATTAAAAGAGTATTTAACATAAGAGATTACTTGTTATATGGAATTAGTCAAACCCATATATATGAGATTGGGGAATACCATAGGGAAAGTGATATTCTTCAATCTTACCTCTATGAATTTGCCTACTTCTATGTAACAAGTAATTACTCATACCAAATAATATTTTAATGAGTTTTTTCAATTGTAATCTCAATCTCTGTATCTCATTTTCAATGTTTCGTACCAACACATAAGTTCCTTGGGACACAAAGGCGGAATTGTCCATGGAACAAACTGAAAAAAAAAAAAAAATCAAAACTGATCGATCATCACAGATGGAAACGATGAACTCATCAGGACTCTAAAAACTTTTATCATACGTTAATATTCAAACCAGTCTTCATCATTAAAAACTCTAATTCAATTATTCAACCTGTCCATCACCCCAATGCCTTCACAAATGCTACCGTATATAAACATGAACCTGAAAAAAAAGAAAAACAGAGAATTTGCAGTGGTTGGACTAGATCGGACTTCAAACTCGCAACGGAAGCTAGATAGCGACAATGTCCCAGTCGATGGCGATGATAACCATGGAAGGGGTAAAAAGGCGACAAGCTCCAAAACAGAAAAAAATGGAGGTAGTAGAAATCGATATCTATCATTGTAGATCAAAGACGTACAGACACCGTTGGTCATCTGCTGCAATCTGCAAATCATTAAATCGAAGAGGGAAGTCGGAGAAATCGTAGATCGAAGAGCAAGGCACCATCTGCCGGTGCTCGTACCATCATCCTCTGCCGTTGCCCGCTCCATCGTCCTCAAGCCGTCCTCTGCCTTGTCGTCATCCATGTTCACCGTCATTTTCAAATCTGCGGGAGGGCAAAATGGTCACCATATTTGAGCTCCATGGAGCTGGTCTCAGTTGCATGGGTAGAGGCATGGAACCCAGTTCCATCGTTTTTTATGGAAGCGGGTTCCATTGAGAAGCGGGCTCCCAGCCACCAAACGTTCCAAATATATGGTTTAGATTCCACTTCCACTTCCTTGACCTCAGTTCCACACTACCAAACGGGATATAACGTCACAATTATACACCCTACAAGAGGAGCATCGACAAGTTTAAAATCCATTCGGAAGGTCCCAGGGCTTCTTCATTTTTTATTTCTTTCTATTTATTCATTTAAAAAAAACTATAAAATTTTAAATTGAAATTTACTTTTTTGGCAACAAAAGAATTTTTTTAAAAAAAAAATTCAAATATTAAAAATATAGATGCTATGTTTCGATTATTTTCTGTGTTCATTGAAATTGTTTGAATCCTCTAGCTACTGTCACTACAGGAGTGGAAAGTACTTGAATTATTGATGCTGACCACAGTTGTGGACAAATAAAAAATAAATATGTACGAATACAATTGCTTTGAGGGAAAATGACCATTAAAAAAAAATAATGATAAGAACTATAAATTCGAAATTTCCAATACAGTACAAGCCAGGAGTGATTTTGTGAGAAGAAAGAAAAACTACTCATTAGGCCCAAATTCTTTTCTTTGGTGCCAGATCTGCCGTCTTTATCTCATCTATCTTTGCTGCTATTATGAAGTCATTCATACTTAGTCCTCCTGCAAAAATTGAAACCCCTTTTAATCAACCAAAATCTTCACATCTTTCTTTTTTTTCCTCAACAATCCATATGAGAAAAATGAGCAGACTTAACTAAACAGTAAAAATTGAATGATGTAAATCCTAATGGGTTCACAAAATTAAAGAAAGATCTTTAGGGAAGAACAAAAACTATGGATAATATCCCATGTAAAAGAAATGTACTTTGCATTCTACTTATGTGTACTATTTTTATGTTTTTTGTTAGTAAAAAAACTACTTTTACACATACTTTATAGAACAAAGCAAACTACTCATTTTCATTTCGTTTAAATTACTAATAATAAAATAATACTCCTTTGGTCCCATTTATAAGGGGAGAGAGAAGACATTTTTTGATCCTATTTATAAGGTACTGAATGAAATTTTTTATATGGATATACAATTTTATCTTTCATTTATTATTGTGTTGACTTTGTTTTAAAAAGGTATAATGTATATTAAATAAGAATGAAGTTAAAAAGTTGTTGAATTTTAAATGAAAGTTAATGAAATTTAGGGTTTTTCTTAGTTTGTGTAAAACATGTTGAAAATGACTTATAAATAAGACAAAAAGAGTACATTTATTCAATAATTAAAAATGGAAGAAAGGCATTTCAGACATTGAAAACATTCTTGCAGTGTCAAGTTCTTCCATAATTCCGAGGATGGAAAATCAATCCCTGAAAACGGTTGTATCAAGTTTCCTAAATGAAAGGAATAATTGTAGACACAATGAATCAAACATGCATGCATTGTTTCCATTTCCATTATATTCTTTAAGGTACACTTAACTCTGAACCAGATGAGACCCTAAGATTCATTTTTGGCATACTCGCATGTCCATGAATGACTTGATTAGTTAAACTAATTTTATAAGACTGAGGAAGTGGGACTAGTTTAAGGTTTACCAATGGAAGCTGTCCATAATTCTGCTCGCACTTGATTTGGTTGTTCCAAGTGGAGTGTTGGGAAATGGCCTGAAGCCTCTGTAACCTTAAGGATCCTGTTGATCAGTTCAACTCCGCATTTAAAATCTCTCACTTTCCACAAGCATTGAAGTTTAAGTCCTTCTTCTTCATCCAATAGTCTCCAACCAACAATCTACAGGAACTAACAGAATGCACGTTCAGAAAGAGCAAGTGAAATGGACTTCCATCATATTCGCTTTCATTGACCAAGAATGAAACTTACTCCAAAATAAGAGACTCGGATAAAACTAGGAAGGAAATGACATTAATTTACAAAAAAACAGTTTTCTTGGGCAAGCATTATCGTACATTTTGTTTTCAAGTCTACCAATCTTGATTAACATGGTTACATAAATGATATTGATGTAAGACTGACAAACTTATGAACCAAGTTCCAACTACTAATTTGTGCACTTGACATCACTGGAAAAAAAAAATGCCAGAAAGAAATCAAGTATAATATAAAACTAAAGTAAAAGTATCCAATACTAAATTTAAAGGCTTGTGGAACATTAACTTCATAAGAGTATGTGGTAACTAACCCTAGAACAGAGAGTGCATAAGGGTAAATGGCAATGATTGCAACTAACAGTGCATGACAGCTTGAAAGCAATACGCCAATATCTTCTTAATGAAAGAAAAATTGCATTTCTCTTTTTCTCGATGTGGAATGGGACCCAAAAAAACTCATAATCAAGGAGTACAGAGCACAAAGTACAGAGAGAAGCTTCGCGTATTGAGTTGCAGGAGATTAAGATGCAAATTATGGATGTCCATTTTTCCTATGCTCAAAGTTCTACCAAAAGAGACGCATATGCAAAAAAACCATCTCGGCCTAAACTTTGTATATTCCTGATTAGGAATGGTCCTTGTTCCCCAATTTTACACAAACTAGTTCTATTGCAAAGAGAAGAGACGAAAGAGTTGGATCAACCATGTAAGTAAGTGTATCAGCTTCACATTCACCATATTATAGTCAAAGGATCCCCAAATTAGAGACATCGAAGAGTTAACTTGATCTATTTTACATGGGCTAAAATCAAAATCATAGGAATAACCTGATTTAACATATGCAACCCAAAATACAATATCTTACGCTACATCCGCAGACTACAAGATTTTTATCAGCTCTACGGTTCAGAGATCAAGAACCTAAAGTCAGTAAATGAACAATCTCTTTTCAAAGGCTAAGCAGCGAACTAGCACAGCCAAGTTCTGTCAATACTTGAGTATTACTGCTGATAAATGTATAAGCCAGACAAAATCATGGGCAGAAATTATTTCTCATAACAAGCTGGGCTGCAAACAATAATAGATTCATAGGTAATTTCAGGATAAACCATTCAATGACTCAAAGTCAATTCCAGCTTAGATATTGCTGGTAACAGACGTAAAAGACAAATAGCTCATAAGCACTTAGGCAGAGATCATTTGAGAAACACCAAGGTTTCAATTTGGTCCTCAACAAAAAATTTCATTCATTTTAGTCCTCCAATAATTAAAATATTTGTAATGTCCAGTTTTGATCCCATTTTTATTCAAAATTAACAGCAAACACAATTTAGCACATTATCCCTCATCTATCCTATTGTGACCAAATTGAAATAAATTATCTATCAGTAACCAAGTTGAAAGTTCACCCATCCAATAACCAACATAAGTCTTATCCTCAAAATTTGACAGCAAGACTGCATAGTTATACAGTTAATCGACAGAAAGAGTAAAATTAAGCAAACGGGTCATAAATTCAGACCTTCTTCAACAGTTTTTTGGCATCATCTTCAGACATGGGAGGCTGCAAAGGCGAAACAGGAGAGCACTCTTGCTGGGCAAGGGAAAGAGCAGAGAGATTGGGGATAAGGATTTTGTGCTCAGTGTCCTTGAAACCCAACACTTTCTCTCCAAACTGGCTTTCCAATTCAGCAGGAAAGGGGTCTCTGGCGCCAAAATCGCCAAGCAAATCAGGGGCCATAGCTCGAGTTCTGAGGCGAAAAGCAGAGGGAGTACATCGAGAAGGAATTGAGGGAGAAAAGGCGGGAAGAAGACGAGGAGTGGATATGAGATGCAGAGCCACAAATGGAGAAGAAGAAGAAGAAAGGTTGGTTATGGCCATTTGATTCGTTTGTGAATGAAAAAGAAAGATTCGATGGAGGGGAAGTAGAGTCGTTGAAGTGTGCCTGTGAAGGAAAGAAGGTTTTGAAATCTGGTGGCTGAGGAGTGAGGGAACAGGATGAGGATTGGTGGTGAGGATGGAATGGCAGCGTTTGGTTCGGACAAGAGTCAAGCTTGCCTGCAAGAGGATACAATAGAGTCAAAATTTTCATTTATTTAGTTGAGATTAATATTCTTTTCTAAAAAAATAAATTAGACACCGTTCTTGAATTTTTAATCGTATGTAAATAATTTTTAGAATTTTTTAAAACCCTTATTTTCAAGTTTTTATATGTCTGTCTGGTTTTTAATATGTTCATTATTCTGCTAATAAAGTACTACTTCTCCAGTTCTAAATCTAAGATCCTTATAGGACCGGAAGAGTATAATATGTTATTAACTATGCATACACTTTCTTAAATTTTATTGTTATGTCACCTAGTATGATCAAATTTTAAGTTATATATAAATAACTTTTTTTTAATTCTTAAGTCATATAAATAAATCATAAATCGTAATGTACTTTTGACTAAACGGAAAAATTGATATTAATAGGTCATTTGCACAAATTTAAAAATTTAAAGAATATGATGATTTCTTATTATTATCAAGTTCTAAGAGTTAAAGAAATTCTTTAATTAAGTTGTATGTGATTTAAAGTCATCAGGGTTATACATAATTTATAATTTAAAAAATATAAGCTAAATTATATATAATACTATTGTGTACATATCTATGATCATTAGTAAATAATAACTATATTTTATTAATTGATAATAACATACTACATGACATTTGACAATGAACAAAAGGGATAATTAATATGTAAGTCCTTACATTTTCAACTGGTTTTTAATCAGGTTTTTATAATTTTTTTTTCTTTTCATCAGGTCAGACCTTACACTTTCACATGTTTTTAATCAGGTTTTTATCATTTTTTTTTATCAGGTCCTTATTATCTTACTTTATTTTTAATCAATTCCTTATTCTTCATTCTATAAAAAATAATATTCTATAAATAATAAATTATTATAACAATCTTATGTTAATATTCTTTTAAATTTTTAGCTAAACGTATATATTATTTATTTTTCAATTCTAATTTTTATAATTATAAAATTCAAATTATAATAATAAAATTTTCTAAAATTAGAATATAATTATAAATAATTTATAGTTAAGTATAATTAATTGTTTTGATTAATTATTAATTACTAAATGATTATATCAATTATTTTGTCCAATTATGTAATTATTAATTTAAAAATGAAATAAATTTTAAAGAATAAAGTTAATAAATAATTTTTTTAAAACTACAAAGAATCTAATTAAAAAATAAATGAGACCTGATAAAAAGAAAAACAAATGGAGGGCCTAATTAAAAACACATGAAAGTAAAAAGACTTGATAAAAAGAAAAAAAATTATAAAGACCTAATTAAAAATCATATAAAATTATAAGGAGCTAGCGATTAATTATCCCTTGAACAAAATCACTATGCTCATGTAGTGAATGGGCTTAATGCTAATATAAATTACGACGTTGTGACATATAGATAACTTTGATTTAATTTATTTTAGGAAAAAAAAAGAGTTTTCATTTTGACTTCAAGAAGAGCCAACGTGGCAGCTTAGAAATTAATTTAAAATTAAAATTAATCTTTTTCTAAGATTAACGACTTAAGATTTAAAAATTTAATTGTCTTGTTGATATCTCCTACCGTGTCTACTAATTAAGGCATGTTATGTCACCAAAAAAAAAAAATTCGGGCATATCATTTAATTGTATTGCGTACGATGTATATATACAGGCATGCATGAGTTACCACTGATTAAAATTTGCGTGCATGTTTCGAGGTTGCAACTAAAATCATGTTTATTACCTACTTTTACGAAAATTACGATTTTAATATGTTCCAAAAGGCAAAACTAAACATTACTATAATAAGAAGCATTTAGCATATTATTTGATGCTGTATATTATATATGTGAATCTAAAATGAATCATTTAAGGTCAAATTTTTCTCTAGAAGTTTTGATTAATAAGTATGGGTGTGTAATAGTTTTTTTTAGATTCAATATCATCCCAAAAATGTTAAAAGAGAAGCAATGTCAATCGCCTTACGCTAAACCGATGTCTATTGCATTACACCTTATGCCATTTTACGTGAACATAACTGTGTTTTCTTCTTTAATCATTTTTGCTTTGGAAGTTTCGGGAAAATGGTCTCTCTATTTTCTTTTCCCTCCATTTTCATCGATCCCCTTCTCACCTCAGCTATAAGATTGAGATTTTAACAGTTCAGATTTCATATTTATAAAATTATAAATAAAATGTTAAATTTTCAAAAAAAAATCAAATAAAACTACTAAATTTCAGTCAGTATAATTCAAAACAATAATAAAAAATTATTTTTAAAAACATGAAATCTGGACCATTAAATTTCAATTTTAATGGTTGAGATGGGAAGTTGATATGGAAATAGAGAGGAAGAGAAGTGGAGAGACTCTTTGTCTTGAGGTTTTGAACTATCAATAATGCCCCGGAGGTTTTAAAAAGGGACCAGTTTTGCCCAAATTTAATAACAAAATGAAGTTGTAGGTGGCGGAGGGTCTAACATGGTAAACATTTGCTTAGCTAACATTAATATAGGATAACATTACCCTTTTTTAACATTTTTGGGGGCAACATTAAATCCAAAAAAATTTCGCATACCCACAATTCCTACTCACAAACTTTTAAAACAAAATGGAACGTTAACTCTTACCTAGAACATGCATTAATTTGTTCAAGAGCTTTAGGTAACATTTTATGAAACTCAACAAAATTGAAACGAACAACATGGTATAAAATATAATCAAAACAGTATACTTTCATAAAACCCAGATATGTACGTACATCGAACAGATTATCGAAGAGCTATACATAACTACGCACACGCACACACATATATATACGCATCCAAGTCTCATGCCTTTACATTTCTTACATTGTCTAGTATAATAAACATCACACCACCATCATCATTTATCACTCATCATGGCCACAAAAGCAACTAGCAGCTCCGCCATCGCGGCGGCTGTATTTATGGTGGCCGCTCTGATCACCACCGTCCTCTCTGACGACATGCTTCCAGTTCCCGGCGACAAGTCCCAACTTACGAAATGGTTCAACGACAACGTGAAGCCACTGTCGTCGGCACAGCTTGAAATGAATAATAATAAGGGCCTAAGAATAATAAACCCTAAACTTGCAGCTGCAGAAAAACGAGTGAAGGTGGTGAAGGTGAAGAAAGATGGAAGCGGAGACTTCAAGACGGTGTCAGACGCCATTAAAGCCATCCCTGAAGGTAACAGGAGGAGAGTAATAGTGTATGTTGGAAGTGGGACTTACTTTGAGAAAATAAAGATAGAGAAGACGAAGCCTTTTGTAACTCTGTTTGGCGATCCTAAGAATTTCCCAAACTTGACCTTCGATGGAACTGCACAAAGATTTGGAACTGTGGATAGTGCTTCCTTGATTGTTGAATCCGACTATTTCGTTGCTGCCAATCTCGTTATTTCGGTTTGTATAATCCAAATCTCTTTTTTATTTTCACAAATTAAACTTAATATACAACATATATTTTGATTTCTTAGCCAAAGCTAGTTATATATGGAAAGTTATGTAGGGGAATATAAGTTGAAAATTTCATAAATTTCAAAATCTTAAAGTTTTGAGTCAACATGTGATCGAATCCACTTAGATGCATCTTCTTGTTGCTATAAGCTTGGCAATCCAGATAACTCTATGTCCTAATTAATTTATAGTACCTTTATGTATTATTATTTGGCTAAAACACATAGTAATCGTTTAATTTTACATGAGGTCATGTCATTAGCAGTGTCTTTTAGTTATTTAACTTTTAATGATATTAACAAAAACTGCTGAGTTGAAATTTTAAATGTCGAAAACATAATTTTAAATGTTGACATATTAAGTTTAATTTTTAAAAATAATAATTATTAGCACAAAAAAATATTACTTGAGACTAATGGTGTTAGATTTAGAGGATTAAAAAGATATTTTATAAAATTAATAGACCAAATTGCAATATTATATAAAGTCAAAGTACTAAATAGTCCCTTCTTATTTTTGAAAGAAAGTGCAATACAATATTGTGATGGATAGTATATTGTGAATTTTTATCTAATCATTATACTCATAAATTCTTTATTAATATTGAATGCACCACATGGATTTTTGTCATGTAAGTATTTAGGGAATTCATATTATTTACTTTTGCGGGTACATGCATGAATGATTATATAAAATATTCTTAATATAAGAGCTTGTTTGATTTTTAATATTTTTTCTTTCATATTTATTTTTTTTCTTCAAAATAGTCATTATAGTAATTGCACATGTTAAAGATATCATCAAATGATAATTCTAGCTAATATACTATATGATTAGCAAAAGTGTTTTAGAAAAAATAATACTTATTTATAACAAATAATTAACTTAACTAATCTTCACAAATTAATCAATTAAATCTTATATTAAAGACTAGAGGTAGTAGTATATTACAGGGAAAGAAGGGTTGGGAAAGAAGGCATTCCTTTGTATAAACATTAGAAAATTAACTGAATTTAGAGGTTCAGATTTCATATTTATAAAATTATAAATAAAATGTTAAATTTTCAAAAATAAATAAATAAAGTCAGATAAATCTACTAAATTTTAGTCAGTATAATTCAAAACAATAATAAAAAATAATTTATAAAATTATTTTCAAAAACATGAAATCTGGATCATTAAATTTTCAATTTTAATGTTTGATACAGGAAGCTGATGGAAAAAAAAAAAAAAAAGTAGAGCGACTCTTTACCCAAAAGTTTTAAACTTTTCAGATGCATTCGGCACCAATCCCATTACTTGTCAGATTCACACCCAACGACTGAACGACATCCGCCGCTCCCTTTCTCACATAGCAGTCTTTTTTTTTTTGGGTCAAATTTCACACATAGTAGTCCACAAAATGTACCGCTTCTAAGTTGTAGGGGAGACTTTTGACTTTTGACTGTCTTGTATAGAAAAGAAAATGTTCACCCTTTTTATTTATCATTTGTACTTTTTTAATATTTTATTTTTAATTTTATCTTTATTAATTAAAAAAAGAACAAATATAAAAGTGAAGAGAGAGGAAATGAGTGAGAAAAAATATACTCTCCCATGTATGAGTATTTGGATTAGTTTTTTAAAAATGATTTTATAGTATACAAAATAAATATATAAAAAGATTTTTATCTCAAATTATGCAAAGACTCTCTTTTAAAGTGCTTTTAGGGTCGCCAAACTCTCCTAGTGCATGTTTGATTTAGGGAGATTTCGGATGAAAACTAAATTATAGTTTTAAAAATGATTTTAGAAACAAAAAAAAAAACTTAAAATCAAGCATGCACTTACTGGTTTTGGGGGAAAAAGTTCCAAATTCAATAAATATTTTGTTCGGAGAATCGGTGTGGGAAAATCACAGGGGGTTTGGATTAAAAAAGTGATTTTAAGTAAGTGAAGATAAAATTTCTCTTACATATTTATTTTGTATACTACAAAATTATTTTTAAAAAGCTAATCCAAACGCCTATTTTTATGATTTCTCCTCAGATCTAGCCAAGCGAACACTGCTCCAGCAATATTAAACACATAACAGAAGTACAGTGGAATTTTGCTTTCCTTTTCTTTTCAGGGTCTAACATTGTAGGTTATGGTTATCCTCATCAACGTTGCATTCTTTAGTAAAATTACCTTTCATCACAACTGCGTTGCTAATTGTTGTGGGGGCGGGAAAAAATCTAAACCGTACCTTTAAATCCAATTTTATCAAGTGAAAATTATAATGAAGTCCGAAAGAAGAAAAGTAATTACAAAACAAGTTTCATAAGTTGTCATTTTCTACTTTATAATTTTTATTACAGGCTACTTAAATTGATATTGAAAATTTTTGGTAATTATCTTTTTTAATTAGGATCTCATTGTAATTCTCTTTTTTATCAACCCAAATTTGAAGTTTTTAGTTAGTGATTTTTTTTCAAATGACCAATTGTTTTTAAGAAGTGATATTTATCTGTTTATACTTAGATTATTATTTTATATTGGGAAAACGACAAAAAAAACCTCCAAATCAATATTAATATTTTAAATTATAGTAGTCACCCATAGCATAATATTTCAAACCTGATCATATCATCAAAAGCTCCAACCTTCTTATCTTCCTTTACAAATTTTAATACTACCTCCACTCCCGATTATAAGAGTTAGTTGACTAATTTGATGAGATTAACGAAATAAGTTAAATTAGTCACTTGTAATGTAAATAGATGTTGTCTTTCCTAAAATATCATGATTAATCAAGTGTATTAGCTATAACTATCATTATTAGAAAGACTATCTTAAACAAAAATACATAAATATGAGAGACAAAGTGGATTGAAGTCTTATATTTATGATTAAAATAAAAGTCAAACGAGGTATTATATTAAGAACCGGAGCTAGTATTTTATTATCTGGATAGAAGAAGGATGTAGAATAATAAAACTGTTCGCATTAAATTCAAACTTTTTATTTCTTAAATTCCATGAGAAGGATTTAAATGCTACTTGTTGCTCTTTGCGTCGAAACTAACTCCAGATCACCCATCTGTTACTTTATAAGAGAAATAACATCACTATATTGCTGTTTTAACGTACAGCAACAAAAAGACCAAGTCTGTTTAAAGAGAAGGGAGTTTCGAGATTTAATTTTCTATTAATGGGCATTCATAGTTTTAGTTACTATTAGGTTTAATGGCTGAAGATGTTGAAACAAAAAGCGAAGAGCTCTCCAAGTCTCACATATTTAACCATACCAGCTCCTATAAATTGCAATTCATTCCGCTCTCATTTCAAGAAATATTCCATCTAATAAACCCCATCAGATTCAAGGGAAAAAAACATCTTTACAAAACAAAAAAAATAAGATAAAAACCATGACGGCGGTGGCCACCAAAATAAGTCGTGTTTCTTCATTTCAGGTGGCCGTTGTGGTGGCGGTTATCCTCGCCGCGGCCACGACGGTGTTGTCGGACGACAACGCGCTGATCCCATCGGACAAAGGTCAATTGGACCAATGGTTCTCAAAGAACGTGCTGCCATTATCAGCCCGGAAGGGTACTCTGGACGCAGAACTGGTGGCCGCCGAAGCTAATCCGAAGACGGTGACGGTGTCGCAGGACGGAAAAGGCGACTTCAAGACGATAACGGACGCCATTAACAGTGTTCCGACGAATAATGCGCAGAGAGTGATAATCAAAATCGCAGGTGGAGTATATAATGAGAAGGTGACCATTGATAGGACCAAGGATTTCATCACTATGATCGGTGATCCTAAAAATATGCCCAACTTGACTTACAATGGTGACGCTAAAAGATACGGCACCGTCGATAGTGCTACCCTCATTACCAACAGCAATTACTTCGTCGCTGCAAATATCATTTTCTCGGTTAGTATGTATATGCTTTCCCATGTGCTTTAATTTTCTGTTCTATATTGAAGCTTATAGATAACTATATCTTTGCATGGAAGTATTTGTTGAGGAGCCCTGCGTAACGGGAAGATTTTTTTTTTTTTTTGTGTTAAGCTCAATATCACCCGAAGCGTGTTAAAATTAATAGAAATCAATGTCACCCTTTTACCATTAAATTAAAAAATATCAGCAGTTAACATTAATTTTTTAACGATTAAGAAATATTATTCTTTTATTAATACTTTTTGGGTGATATTGAGTTTAAAAAATTGTGAATACCCATAGCTTATTTGCGAATACTTCTTCTAAGGCAAAATAATGACCCCTAACCCCTATATTTAACATATTTCTTTAGTTCTTAGTATAAAAACTAATTAAATGGTTAAATTTAGTTTTAAATATAAGAAATTAATTTATTTTATTTTTCATGTTTATCATTTTTTAAACTTATTTAGTCAACTTATAAACTAACTTATTATAATCTAATAATGTTTACAGGGATATTTGAGAGGAATTATGTTATATTTGTTATAATTAACTAATATTTTATTTTTTTAATCTATTCAAATTAATTAAGTAACTCTTATACTAACTATTACAGCTAGTATATAATAATATGAAATTTATATATTGTACGTTTTTGCATGAATTTAGATCAGTCATGAATAAACTTGATTAATATTAGGTTACACTTGACCGATAAATTTCACATATAAGTATTCGATATCATTTAATTATATTTTTTTTTTTATCAGAGGCATTCCCATTTGTGTTTAAACTGACATTATCAATTATCAAGTAGACCGAAAGATCATCTAAATCTAAATAACATGTATTATCTTTGTCTACATTACTATGGCACTTCATATGATGGTGTTAATTTCACAATTATATTGTAGAACTCGGCACCGATGCCGGATGGGAGAAGGGAGGGAGCTCAGGCGGTGGCGCTACGAGTTTCCGGCAACAATTCGGCATTCTACAACTGCGTGCTATTAGGGTTTCAAGACACACTGTGTGACGATAGGGGAAACCATTTGTTCAAGGACTGCACAATCCAAGGCACAGTGGACTTCATATTTGGGAGTGGCAAGTCCTTGTATCTGAACACGAAGCTCATCGTGGTGGGGACGGTCGGCGGCGTGATCGCGGCTCAGGCGAGGGAGAGCGACGACGACACCATCGGCTATTCCTTCGTTCACTGCGACATAAGTGGCACCGCCAGTGGCACCTTCTTGGGAAGAGCTTGGATGGCTTATGGCAGAGTTGTGTACGCTTATAGCACCATTAGCAACATTATTACTCCTCTTGGTTGGAACATTAACAACCATCCTGCTATGGCCCAGTACGTACTATTTTCTCTCTTCTTTGTCTCTTTCCCTTTTAAAAATATTTTCTTATGATAAGATATTATGTATGAGTAAACTTGATTTCATGCGAGAAATTTTCGCTAAAATTGGATTTAATTAACAAGACACCCACACACATACACACACGCGATTAAGATTGAAAGGAGTATTTTCCTCTCGGTTTGCTCTCAAGAAAATACTTAACATGTCTTGCAATGTGACATATATATATGTATATGCTTTGTGAAGTATTACCTCTGGTCTTTAATATAAAAATTAGTTAACTAATTTAAAAACTTAGTTAAGTTAATTATTTGTAATAAATATGTATTGTTTTTTCTAAAATACCCATGCTAATCATATGTATTATCTAAAACTATCGTTTGATGAAATCTTAAATATGTATAATTACTATAAAGACTATCTAAAAAAAAGGGTAAATATGTGAGACAAAATATATTGAGGTTTTAAACTTAGGATCAAATTGAATGTCAAACTAGCTTTTATATTAAGACCCGGAGATGGTATTTGATTCAATGTGTGTGTAAATATTTTAACTGGTAATAAACTACTTTTTGGGAGATCAAAGCATATTTAATTTAACTAGAATTATTTTTATCATATATTGCGCGAAATTTTGACAAGTGCAAAATAATAATGAATAAATAAATGCAGGACTGTGTATTTTGGAGAGTACCAGAATAGTGGAGATGGTGCAAATACAAAAGGACGAGCCCCGTTCACAAAGATACTAAATGACGCTGATGCTAAGCAATTCATCTCTCTTGGCTTCATTGAAGCTTCTAAGTGGCTGCTTCCTTCTCCTCAAGCCTAAAATTTTATTTTCGGATCTTATTTTTTATTTTTTGTATCATTAACTCTAAAAAAAAAAGGTCAACCACTGATAATCGACGGTAACATATTCAATATTGTCCATTTCGAGGTCCTAATATATGTGAGTGTGTGCAAATGTAATTTGATTACATTAATCGGAAAAAAATGATTTCCTTTCTATTCCTCTGGGGTGAGTGTGTGTGTGTGTCTTGCTCGGTTGAAAACAATTAAGTCTGCTTAAAAGTATTGAATTTTCAGTTTATTATAAAAATATAATATGTCTCTATAATATACATACAATTCAATTTTTAATTAATAATCACAAAATTCAAACGTTGAAAAAGAACGGGAAAATATTAGCTATCAAGTTTGACAGAACAATTTTGCATTTTATAGTAATACTCTTACTACTTTCAGTCCTAAGTATAAGATTCACTTTAAAATTACACCACAAGATAAATTTTTAAACCTTTTTTAGTCAGTGCTCTCAAATTAAATTTTACTTATTCCCCTTCCCTCAAATATCCAATTTATCATCTCAATCCTCCTTATATACTCTTGTACTCCTTCAATGAAAAAAAAATTAAATTTGGTAAATATATGAATAAGTCTTACATATATATGATCAATATCAACTTTCAAATTTGGTCCTCCATTAAGAATTGAAAGGGTATGTTTTAGTGTTTCATATTTAGAATCAAAATGAACTTCTCAATTAAATTCTACGTTAAAAATTAGAAGAGATTCTTAGTAGAATAATTTGGGCATGCATGCCACAATACCACGTGTATTTTGTGCTTGTACAAATTCACTGAATTGCAATGCTTTATACCGTTTATGTTGATCCAAATGTCAACATTAAATTAAAAAAAAATTGGGTTTTAGAGATAAATTAGAAGAGTTTCATTGCAGTTTAATTTTTCGTATATTAATATAATACTCATTTGCATAATTATTGGTCTAATAATAAATGTGTGCTAAACAAATGAACAAAGACTCTTTTTTTTTTTAATTAGCATTTATAATACTTTTTTAATACCCATCTAGTACTCTCTAGTACTCTTATTATCTTTCAAGGAGTTAATCTGTTGATTATATATGTAGAAACACAGGTATGTTATCATTAGCCTATAAACCCACATGATGAATAAAATTTGACATATGATCATGTGAAATTAGAGAACTTGACCTAAGTGTTTTCCAATATTTTATGTCTCATTATCCAAAATATAATTCCTTGAAAATTAATGTTTGGATGAAAAGTAATTAATTAATATTATTCAAATTTTTAAATATAAATATTAAAAATTTATGCATTTATATTTTTATAATATCAAGTTATATGATTTTTCTAAAAGAATAATTCAGTTCACCTAAAATCATGTTCCTTTAGAAAATAATGTTGAGATGAAAAGTAACATTCTTTATAATTAAGTAATATTTTTATATAGCATTAATTAATAAATCAATTTAAATTTTATATTTTGAATAAAATTAAAATTTTTAACCTATAAAATGTCTTCATATTAATTATAAAACCAACTCATTATTAAAATATTTACAAGAAATTAAAAAAAGGTATCGCATTGTTTCGCTATTTTCCTGGTTTCGGCCCAACAACCCATCTCGAAGTGACTATAGTGGGCCTAATTCACTGGCCTACCGAGGCCCATAACATACCGAACTTGGTGGAATACTCGAACCCGACCTAACCCGATTCAGTCCAAATGGGTACCCGAATATTCTTAGACGGGTACGGCACAGGGCTGGATTCCCCAGAAAAGTAGAAAACAGATTCCGAGTAACATTGTAACGCTCCCAGGAGATCAAGGAAGAACCGGTAAAGGGTGTATACGTCATCTTCTGTTGCATCTCATCTCGTACTAACTGTCATGGCGATGAACAATGGATTCAGATCTGCAGTGAGGCTCCTCAATTCTTCCGACACGGTGGTTTCAAAGTCAGGTCAGTCACGCGTGTATAATCCTTCCTCTATTTGGTTGATGATAACCTATTCAAAGAGGTTATGGATCGATCGTCGAACTTTGAGCCAATTTTTTATCTGCATTTTATGTTTCCTTAGTTTTGCTGTATGAAATTTTGGTTCTTTTGTTTACCGATACTCCTGTAGGAGTGAAATGAAGGTTTTTTTTCTTCTTATTATTGTGAATTTACGTGGTTTTGATCTGAGAAGAGGGTCAATATCAGCGAGTAATTGATTAGCTTCTCACATTATTGATTCTGAGTTTTTGGTTTTTAAGGGTGATGGGTTGTGGGCAAATAGACTATTGCAATCACGGTTTGACAGTTTTTTAAATGAAATTTAATGAACGAAGACGTGGGGTATTGGAGGCTTGTATTTTAATGAACAAACACGCTTTGCAAAATATGTTATTCTGCTATTTTACTTCAGAACTGTGTTCAAGACCTACTCCTTCGGGAATTTAGGTCCGAACCCTCGGTTACCATGCTCAATGGTTCAACCGAAAATGTCATGATATCAAGACCAAAAATAAGGCACTTTCTGCACAACATTTAATGCTGGCCAACGATCATGTCAGTTTGGCTTGATGACCTAAGGACTGATATGTGATATATAGTCTTGACAGGTGATTCTTTAGAACTTAGGGTAGTGGAAGAATTCCCAAGTGAGATGCTTCTTTTGAATTGCTTTAATCTCTGGAGTTCATATGGTCAAGTTTGTGGAGGATTTCAAATCACGAAAAATAATGTATGCGGAGGATAAAAGGTTCGTCTTAATGGACAGAAGCATGTGCAACTTGCTAATAATATATCTGGTGATGGTTGTGAATCCAGCAACAAGAGTGAATGAAGTACAATACAGGATACTACACTAATTCTGGTAGAAGTTTAAAATTAGGGCCATGGAGGCACACAAGAATCATATCGTGCCATGTAGATGAGACTACTTGGAATATAAACATATGGCAAGATAAATTGCGAAAGCAAAATTGCTTGAGGTTGGATTGCTGGTTTTAAAAGTAGTAGAGCCATTGTACGAAGGAAGTGGCTCAACTAGGAATTGAGAATTAGCTTTAAGAGGAATTGCTTTGGCAACATATAACGGGGTGTGGATCTTCATGTCCTAGGGCAATTGGGTTATCATCTGAATTTGGAAAAATTGTTTCTGGGAGTTGGAATTCATATTGACTTAGCATCCTATGTTTAACTTGGTATCATAATTGAATTGTGCGTTCTCCTAGGATTGGCAAGGTTGAAGCCTCTTGTTTGTTGATTCTTTTGCTACCTTCTCATTTTTCGTGTTTACTAGCTTGCAATTTGACATTTTATCATCAGTTCTTCTATGATAAAACTGGCACCTGATATCATTACATATGGGTTGGACTTTAAAGTTCTATGCAAGCCAATGTCTTCTTCAGTATTTTGACTGGAAGAATGCTGACCCCCCTAAAAGAAAAACAAAATGAAAAAAACCCCCGCATGCCACTATTTGAAAGATCATGAAGATACTAACGAAGCGTATCATGCATAGCAATGGTTTAAATGTAATGTATTGTCATTGTTCTCCTTCCCTTGTTAAACTTACGTAGGTTTTGTGCCTGTATGGATTTTTTTTTTTTTTGGAGAAAAATAGTGTGGTTCATTCTGGCAAGCGTGAATAAAAAGATAAAGGCATGTTAGTTGTTGACAGTGAGCAGAGGTTTCCGTTCCACTGGGGTTAAGAGAATGGGAGGTGGACACGGGCATGGCCATGACGAGCCAGAATATATGCATGCAAAACACATGTACAACTTGGATAAAATGAAGAATCGCCCCTTGAAGATGTCCCTTGCTGTGTTCAGTGCCTTCAGCATTGGTGTTGTTGTTCCAGTCTACGCAGTCGTTTTCCAGCAAAAGAAGACAGCTTCTGGCTAGCCGTCTGCACATGATTTGTTTGCTTGCAGTTGGGAATCCCAGACTAGCTGAATGATGATTTTTGTGCTGTTTTGGATTTTGTTTCTGAGCAAAACTAGAAATGGGTTTTCTCTGTTTCTTGATAATAATTGGTTCAGTGATTGTTCCCTAACGCTCAACGCTTGTACATTTTCATATCTTCAAAGGAATAATATACTTTGATTGGTTGATTTGGTTTGGTAGTTTGATTGGCTTAGTTTGGAGCAAGTTTTCAATTTTGGCTTTCTTCTTATGGACGGTAAATGGAGGGACAGTTCAGTAAACTACTATACTTAATGTTTTTCTATTAGGACTGAATATAGTCCTCATCTCCCGCTGAAGATCGAAGTTTTACAATCACCACTTCATGGTAGTCGCCAAAACTAAGCTAATTACAAGCATGTTCATGAAGTTTCTAACAAAATAAGCCCGATTTGTTCCTATGCTATTCCCCGAATTCCAATGAAAATGAGCTACTGTTCTTTTCGGTAATATCTTTACAAACAGGTGAAGCCATTGACATTCTTTATCCTTAAAGTTACATGTATTTAGTACATGTCCAACATTATTCCATAATTTATTTTCTTATTTTAATTTTTTACATAATTATCAATTATACAATAAAAATACCTCTTCAATGTAATCATTTTATCTTAATCAAGAGCTGAGTTTTTTTTTTTTAATCCCTACTATTGTTATTTTTGCACGTTTATATACTAGAATAAATGCTTGGCCTTATTTAGGGCCTGTTTGGTTTGAGGGGAGGGGAGGGAGAGGGAGGGAAGGGGAGGGGAGGTTTCATCCTCACCTTGTTTGGTTTGATTAAAAAGGAGGGGAGGGGAGGGATAGTAATAATCAATTTACCATTTTACCCTTATATATTAGTTTATGTTTTTTATTGATATATTATATAAATTAATTTACATCTTAATTTAAATTATATAATTTAATCAAAATTCAGTCTTATCATGTTAATATGTGTATTAAAAAATTGGTATAGTAATTTTTCATTCTAATTAATATAATAATATATTTAAAATAATCAAATTAACAAATTTTATATGCTCTAAGAAAAATGAAATTTTA